AGTCGGGCTTAAGAGCCGATTTTGTTGACCTGGCCCAAGACAACAGTAAACCCTTTTTTTCTTTTTTTTTTTGGTTTGGTTGGGACACCCCATTGACCCATTTTATGATCCATTCAAGTGCACCCATTCATCCCCCATTATCTCCACTCACCCTCCATTATCAAAAAAGGTTTTGGCCTTGTCATAAAGGATGAATCAAAAGCAACAGAGTCTTGATCATCATTATCATCCTTGTCATCCCCATCACCTTGGTCTTCCACCTTGTCCCCCATTCCTTGACTTGTTTATTCCTTCATGGCTTAGACATTCAGATTGTATAATAAAGAGGGAGAGGATGGAATGAGGGAAGAAGAACATCATTCGAGAGAGTTAGAGAGAAAAGAAAGCAAAAGAGAAAAAATTGTCTATATTGCAACCTTGAGTCAAAACAATTCCAAGCTTCCATAGCTACTGAAATTCCTCATTTCCATAAACCAAAACCACTCCAAAAATTCTGATATAGCCAAAGATTAATTGCCTTGATCATCAGGAAGAGTGTTTAGTGATTGAAAGTGAGAAAAACTAGAGAGTTAGCCACTTTCCATATCATAAACTCCATAATTTCGAATTGAGGATTTGAGAACACATTTCCTATACTTGAGGGTGATCAAGAGGGAGTTTGTGAACTAAGGAGTTCATCTTTTCCTTGGAAGGTGAATTTAACAAACTTTTCATTTTCTTGCATTTCTTACTTTATTTTGCTCTTTTGCTTTGATGTCTTGTTATATTACATATTGTTGTAATCTAATTGAAACTAGTGAGTTGAGACTCCCATATATATTGTTTTTAGTTCTGTTTTTGTTGTCGAAATCTAAGAAAACAAAGTTTGGCCAAGTTTACTGGGCTACCTGGCCTGTTAGTTGGCTGGGTAGCCACCTAAAAGTACACCATTGCATCCACGACCTTCATGACCATGCCCGTGATCTCTAGGCAAAACAAAGCAGCCTTCTGATGTTGAGAAGATCAACCTCCGATGTTCTTTAAGGCGCTTGAAGCTATTATTTTCTTATGTTTATTTTGTTTTAAGTGTTTGTAAGGATTTTTATATTGTGTTGTAATATTTATTCATCTCCCTCAGATTTGTAATATTTAAAGTGTTGTAATAATTCCTCATCCCCACTTCTTATCTATTTCATTCATTAATCGCTTTCCCTAACTGTACATATGTATATATTTTGCATGCCATGTGTATCCATGCTTTTACATACATGATTCATGACTAGATCCGGCTAAATTTGCATCTTTGTGCTTTAATTGATTATTACATGATTGTGCGCTATCGCATATTTTGCAATGTTTCACATGTCATGTTTTAAAAGCTGGATCTTTAGAAGCATTCTTGTGTATCTATTGCATTAGGATTTTGTATATAGGATCATGCATATTTTACTAACTCTGTTTCATAGCTGTTCGTGGGACATCGATAAATATGTATGTTGTTATGCTTTAGCATCCCATTTGTACATAATTTTCTTATTACGTTTAGCATCCTAGCATGTGGCTATTTGCTTATGTGATATATCTCTATGAATGCCGGTGGATGGAGGTTGTGTCCCTTAATTTGGAATGATATTGATTTTCATGTTTGTAAACTCAATTTCTTTGAGTTATGCATCTTCAAAACTCTTTCAAAAAATACATGAACTCAAATTGTTCCAAGATGAATGACATAATCTATACTTGTATGCTTCACATAGTAAATTTTTAGGATTTATTAAATAAGTCAAAATATGAACATATAAAGCACATAAAATTCATATCATGGTTTAATAGAGGCCGATCTTTGATCGGGTGGGCTGGGGTGCTCATTATTGGCCTTCATCTCTCATACCTAAGGTTCCGAGCCAAGCATATTTGGTTACAATGAACAGTGGCCTTGGCATGAGTCATGGGTTTCCTAATTTCCCAAAATATTAGGTGGCGACTCTGAAATCTAATGACGCAGTCCATTTTTGACAAAATTACAATAAAGTGTATTTTCAATAAAAGTTTCCAAATTTGGACTCTCATCTATGTTTTATATTTCATTCGTGAGACTAGATCGCAGAGATCTCGGGAGTCCGAACAGTTTAACGCGCGCAGGTACCCCCTAGGTAATGTTACAAGCACATATTAGAAATTCCAAAGTAAAATAAATAAATCAGTAATGGTTTCAACAAAAGCAGAGAAAAGAACTAAAATTCATAGTAGGTATTCAAAATCCTTAATATCATGAAGAATATCCAGCATATAACATATTACCATCACACAATATAACAAAATTATATGGAAAAAGAGCAAGAATTATTGCCTAACCAATTTCTCACTAGTCCTGAAACAACCATTTGCCGAGTTAGTGCACAAAGGTTGAGGTTATAGATCATCACAAATCCAACAATCCGCCCAATGATAGCCAAAGCGGAAGACTTTTTACTCACTGGATGTACTGTAGAAGCATTTCCAGGAATGACATTTCCATAGAGAGAGAATTGTAATTGGGATGTTGCTTCACTAGTTGATTGGCTACTCTTCTCTTCTTGCTCCTTCTACATAAGATGGACTCTGACCTCCTTCACTTGGAAATCTTCATTTCCAACCACTGAAATATTCTGTTCATCCCCACCTTTCAACTGATTTTCAAACTTCCAATAACTTAACCGCATCACATCCTCATCAGCTTCTGGAATGCCAATGACATTTGGGGAATGGCTCCAAATCAAACTCTTGGTTGTATTATTGATAATAGTAATCATGGTCAAGATATTTTGGATTATTGGAAAGTGCATAAATAGAACACACACTCAAGGCTTGAATTCTGAAATGCGATGGCACAATAAAATATATTGAAGATCCAGTATTTTTAATATTAAACCAAGTTGGAATCTTGCTTTCCAGAAGATAAGCGTAAAATATGTGTTCTTCATGACATCCTTCCACCAAAGAAACCATAATTTAACCGTTACAATTTTTTATTATTTTTATTTTTGTTTATTATGTGTGAGAGAGAGAGAGAGAGAGAGAGAGAGAGAGAGAGAGCTTCCTTCGATTCTCTAAGTACATGTTTGAAAGCGTAACAGTTGGGCTTCCCATGGATCCAAAGTTGGGCAAGCCCAAATTATTCATTATCTCCACATCAATATTCCATATGGGTTCTAACTTAAACCAGCCCATGACCTCAACTATATTGCCGCACATATCATAGAATAGTAATGGTCTCCAATGCTCCATCATAACAAATTGATTATCCCATGTGTCATTATATTGCATGGTTGATGGAGCTGAATAAAATGCACATTTTGTGCTGTAAAACTCTCTCGAATTCCGCCACTTTATATATACATCACAGAGGTTCTCGAATTCTATGGTTGATGATGGAAATGATTGAAATGTTACTTTCTCCAACAATGTACATTCAGCGACTGACAATACTTTCAAATTCTGCTCCACTGTAAGTGATTAAAACCCTTTTACACTCTTTTAATACAAGGATCTAAAGTCTAGTAAGACCTTAGATGCAATTCAGGAGGCTACAAATTGGATTATTGCTTAGATTTAATATCTATAATAAGGATAGGTTACTAAGATCCTTTGGAAAAGCATCCTCTGATAAATTGTAATCCACAAGACTTAAGTGTACCAAATATCGTGGTAAAAGGGCCCATGAAATTTCTACACTCTTTCTTGGTTTCGATAGAGAAGGCCAGATGAATGAATACCATGATTTGATCTCCTTAGTGGTAGAGAGTAATTGAATTATGGCAATGGCTTCGATAGAGAAGGCCAAATGAATGAATACCATGGTTTGACCTCCTTAGTGGAAGAGAGTAATGGACTTACGACAGTTCCATTTACATTGAACTTTGTTAAAGAATCCATAATCCCCATCTCTATTGGCAATTCCTTAATATTTGAGCAACCTGAGATGTTAAGTGTTTCCAAAAATTTTAGCATAACAATGCTTCTTGGAAGCTTCCTTAGATTTTTGCAATCTTTCGAATTTAATAAAACAAGTATTTGAAGGTGTCCAATAGATTCATGAACCTTTACCAGTCATGTACAATTTTCAAGTATTAGTCGCTCAAGATTGGGTACTTCCAAGAAATCAGGAGTTTCGAAAAGGCAATGGAAATGACTAAGATCAAGGATTTTTAATGACTCAAGAAACTGTAATAGAAAAAAATGTTGGTTGTTGTTTCTTTTAATTCTCAAACAAAATTGAAATGAAAACAAACAAATGAGTAACATACCTTGGTTCCTTTCCAAACCTTTTGCAAGTTGCTATACTGCATGTCAAGAACAACCAGGTTATCCAAAGGGAAATCATCACATATAGAGTTGAAAGATAATCCATGCCAACACAACCATTGTAATCCTTTCGAAAAATTTTCAAAGCTTCCATTGACTTGTAAATTTTTGAGTTGCAAAAGTTTTAGTTTGTGCATCCTTGCAAATGCATCAACTTCCAAAGCTATCTTATCTGAATTTCGTAGAGCAATGCCTACTGTCTGCCAGGAGAAGATGCCAAAACGACGTCTTTTAAACAAATTTCCTACATTGGACATCAAAGATGTTCTGAGGAATTCTTCAAAATGACGTTTTCCATTGACACCAAAGATTGTCCTGTCATATTTACCTTCCAAAAAATTCATATCAAGTATAAGATCTTTAATTTTTCCTGTCCTCTAATAAAGAATGAGAGGGAGATGACATCAATCAAGAAGAGTAATGCTATACAAAATACATATATATACAAAATTCTCATACAAAATGATGTAACTTTCATTTCAAAAAAAAAAAAAAAAAATTTTTTAAAAAAAACCACCAATGTAAATGATTTTTTTTTTTTTTTTTTTTATGAAGTTTCTAAGTTTGGATCATTTTTTGATAGTAAATAACTACAGAAATACATACAAATATAAATGAGGAGACGGATTAATTCTTACAGTATTTTCTTTCAAGACATTGAAGGAATACTTATGATTTCAGAGTCTACTATGTTCTCCTAGCTCCTTAGGTAATTCTTGATGAACAATTTCTTTTCCCATTTCTTGAACAAATTGATGCATCACCAAATTTTTGTGTTTATCAATCATTAATAGACATCTATCAATGAGATTTTGAATCCCAATCATTGTGTAAAAATCACATCCATCTAGAATTGTAACTACCCAATCTTCATCCGTCCCAACAAAGAAACAAGTAACATAGAGGAATAAATTTTTGTCGTGGTCATCTTGCAAAGAGTCATTGCTTATTTTGAGTTTTTCAATGACTTGATAATCAGGAATCGCTTTCAATTTCTCCAATTGAATTTTCCAGACATTTAAGCTTTTCCCTAATAGAGAAGAACCAAAAAATTTTATAGCTAATGGAAGCCCTCCACAGTATTGTATCACCCATTCTGAGACCTCTATGAAACCATCAATGGGACGGTTTTGCCCAAAGGCATGCCAACTAAAGAGCTCTAAGGACTCATTGTAATCCAAATTTCCAACCTTGTGAATGTGGCAAACTTCATAAGCCCTTAGCAACGGCTCATGTCTAGTGGTTATGATGATTTTACTACCTTGAAAAAGCAAATCTCGTGTTCCAAGTATTGCATCTAGTTGGTCTATCGTATCCACATCATCAAGAACTATAAGAACTCTTTTGCAACGTAATGCATCTTTAATTTTAACAATTTCTTCTTCAACATTATACAACTTTTTCTTTCTTCCCTTTAAAATATTTGAAAGAAGTTGTCCTTGTAATTGAAGTAAACCATTTGGTTGTTTTAGAGTTTCTCTTACATTTGCAAGAAAAGTTCGAATTATATAGAAATTTGGCAATGGTTGTCGTTCATATTCCACCTATCCCACAAATTGTGACTATACCAACATCACTAGACCCATCTCATAACCAAAGCCCAATATTTTTGGCTCGAGAACGTATTCCAATCAAGTAGGGGGAATTGCCCAAGATTGTGTGTCTTAGTTTGTCTAAAATGACTTCTACAATTTTGTGGATAAATTTTGACTCGAGTCTAAAGACAAGATCAAGATTTAAAATAAAGCACAATAAGAATGCAATGAGTTGAAATTAATTATAAATTCTCATGCAATAATGAAGAAGATGACTACGTTATTTATTGTCTTTGTTGAAGCAATTAGATGAGTCCTAGATGAAAAAGGGGGGGGGGGGCTTTTACAATCATCGTTTTGGATCAATACTATTTTTTCTAATATAAATTGTTTTCCCTGTTTTGCATTTTATGAGGATACAGTAAGCTAATAAGTTATTAAATTTTTTGAAGAATAGTCTAATTTTTTTTCAACGAAACTTTAGGACTAAAAATACCAAGACCCCTCAATTATTGGTAAATATATATGATTTATCACCTCAACTACTATATCACTTTCACCTCTTTGTACGGTTTTTATACTTGAAGGAGTCAATATATACAAGTTCATAAATAAAGTAATGCGGGCTACTAGTTGATGGGGCCTATCTTGTTGTAATTAACCCAAATTTTTATGATTGGAAATGAACAACTTCATGTGATCTTTTCAAATAGCTTGAAAGGGAAAACCATCTCAAAAAATCATAGTTAATAAATCAAAGTTTTATTTGGGTATTATGAAGAACTTCCTGTGAAACTGTACCGATTTGAAAGAAACCGACTGGATGTTCTCTCAAGGACAATTTAACTTCTATATTTGAGGTTATATTCTAAAAATTAAAAGATGTCAAACTCTCAGAATTTAAAATAAATAAAAAAAAAGTTCATCCCAAATTTTGATGAAATAATTTTTAATACAAAAGGCCCTCCTATGAAATACTTTTAACTATGAAATCCCAAAAAAGTGTGATGCAAGTAATGCTTAGCTAAAAGAGCAAAATTACCCGTCAGCTTGATTTTGTAAATCCATCCCTGCTAAATCTGCAGCTTCTCAGAGTGCTGATCTCCATTCATGTATCTTGCCCTTCGGTTCATCTTTTTTTCCAGCTCTTTCTGTATGGAATCTCTCTTCATGCCTCGTGAATGCTTTTTTGAAACTTTTGATTTGCTTCCTCACATGTGATGGATCCACGTGATAGAAGACAGGTAGCACTACATGCCCAGTAGTCCTTCTACGTTTGAGGATCATCACAAGTTCATCAAGACACCTGCTCGAAGAAGCATAGTTTTTTGAGAAGACAACTATTAACATCTTCGACTCTTGAATTGCTTTCTGCAATTCAAACTTAATATTTTCTCCTTTTTCAATCTCGTCATCATCTCTAAAGATGCGAAATCCTCTATGATTTAAAGCTATGTAGAGGTGGTCAGTGAACGTCTTGCGAGTGTCTTTACCTCTGAAACTCAAGAACCCATGATAATTACATAGAGAATCTGAAGAGGAGGCATCTTGGGCTCTAAAGCTCCATAAAGAATTAAGGACAGAAGAGCTATGAGATGGGATTAATGTTATCTGTCAAGGCATCATATATATTTTATAAGAGATGTGACTATATATAACCATATATCTAAAAAGGTGAGGAAATGCAACCATAATTTACCTGTTTGTAGGTGTTGATTTTTGACCACACAACCAAACAAGAGAACTTAGCAGAAGAACATCGGCAGAATAGATTAAGCCCGAACAACCTGACACAGAAAGATAAGAATCTGGCAGTGGTTCATCCACCCAGGGGCACTCCGACGATCAAGTCAGTAATTATCCCTCAAAGATAGCCAATAGTGCTTAAATCAGTAAACAAAGCATAAAAAAACATACCTTAGACCCACGAGGGTGCCTTACTTTTATAGCTAGCACTAACCTGATCCCTATAGAAGCCTAGCTTCAATGGACTTTGGCTCAATGCTCATCTTGGACTCCTAAGTAGATAGAGATAAACTCTCTAAGAGGTTTATCTTTATCCAGACTGAGGTCCTCTCCCATTCTAGGACTCTTGTCCCTTATCCGTTCATCTCAGATTCCGATATCTCCAAAGATAACCTCGGCCTAGTAGAGATCATCTCGGTATGTGACCAAGCCACATGGTACCTTGCATGGCACTTCAACATCACCTTGGCCACATGTTGTCATTCATAAAATATGTCCCCACAACTGCCCCTTAGGTTCTATTACCTCGGCATCCTGAGGTGATGGAACCTACATCATTTGTCCACATAGCACATCGGCTAAGACTTACTTTATCCTTCATGACCGAGATCATCACCTGTCGGCTTTACATGACCAAGACTCTGTAGTCTACTTCATCAATGACCAAGAACCAAGAACCAAGTTCTTCAAGTTCCTTAACCGAGATCGCTCCTCTAGCCGAGGTTTTGTTTCATTAAATCAAGAACTCCAAGAGTTTTATCCGCATATGAGATATCACGCACAATTTACTTAACCATTTTCTCCATGCGTCACTCCCTCATTGGTTCATACCTGACTCGCATTTCTGCACACGTCGCTTGATAGACACGTCGTCCAAGGCAAATCATTATGGTTTGTTGCCTTTTCACAATTTTAACAAAACTCTTCCCTCTCTCTCCATCTCTTCACTTTTGAGTATTCAATTTGCAACTAATTTCCTCTCTGTAACGCTTCTCTCCCAAATCCTCCATTTTCGTGCTTCGAAGCTCCTGCAACAGCTTCAATCATCTTCTCCAACGAGAATTTTGTTATTTGGTTCCGATTATTCACGCCGTTTGACTCCGGCGATCTTTATTCTGGCGTCTTTTTCTTGGCTCCAATCGGTAAGTCCTCGATTTCCTCCTTTTCAGTCTTTCACTATTCCTTTGATTTGTTTCAAATCTGTTACCTGTTTACATGTTGTTTGCTGCCATTGCAAACCAGCTTTTGTTCTTAAATCCTTGCTTGTGCTTTGAATTTCATCATTTGGGTGTCAAACATGCTTGTTTGCGAATTCGTGTTGTTCAATTTGTCTCTGGGTCTACATATGCACATACGAACTGTTCATATACTTGATGCTTTAGCAATTTGTCACTATTCTTGACTTCTGCACATCTGCACACACTTACTCAGTGTTCCTGAATTTCTGTTTGTTTTCTTGAGTCTGAATCATGTTCTTTTCTGTTTTGCTTCGACTTGCTTCCAGATTCTTGCACTTGATTCTTGTTTCCGTATAGACTTAGGTTTGGGATTTGGTAGAAATCACATTCTTTAGGAAATGTCTCTGGGTCTACATATGCACATACGAACTGTTCATATACTTGATGCTTTAGCAATTTGTCACTATTCTTGACTTCTGCACATCTGCACACACTTACTCAGTGTTCCTGAATTTATGTTTGTTTTCTTAAGTCTGAATCATGTTCTTTTCTGTTTTGCTTCGACTTGTTTCCAGATTCTTGCACTTGATTCTTGTTTCTGAATAGACTTAGGTTTGGGATTTGGTAGAAATCAGATTCTTTAGGAAAACTAAAACAAATTCCCCCTAGATCTTGAAAAACCCTCGCCCCAGCGTCAGTCTAGGTTTTAGCCGAGGTTTCCAAACCTCTACCAAATATTCTTCTCTGAAATTTTGCACGAATCCACCTTAAGTCGACATCATGGAAATGTTTAGGTGGAGAGTTAGCACCTCAGAAAAACTTGAATATTTTATAAGAGAGTTCTCTATCCCTGGCGACATCCAACACAGGTTAGCTGGGGAGGAAGACTCTATAATGCCTAGTGAGGACTCCATGCCCTTCCCAGTAGTTGCTTTCATAGAGTGTGAACTTAGGTTCCCTCTAGACATTCTTTTCCAAGAAATCCTTCATTATTACAAGCTCAACCCAATGCAACTGGCCATAAACTCATATCAGGTTATCAATGGCATAATTGAACTAGCACACCGAGAAAAGCTAGGATCACTTTAGCCGACATCCAATTCTGCTATACCATGTGTGGCGTCAAGTGCGTAAAAGGCTACATATACTACCTGAAGCCTAGATCCACCACCTTTAAACTAATAGCCGACCTCCCAGACTCCAACAAGGGTGTTGGAGATGATTACTTCATCGTCTCGGGCATCTAGGAGTTTTCACCTGATGACGACCTCCATCTCTATCCTCTGAGCCGAACAGTTTTTAAAGGGGGTAATGGTAAGACCTAGTCATTCGTACTAAAATTCCATTTTGGTTAAGGCTTGCTAGTTTATTCGTCTCTTCTAATGTTTGTTCTTTGTTTTCTACTGTTCTTTCTCAGCCGGTGAAGGGATTTCGGCAATCATTCGTTCCCAGCCGAGATCTAAAGAAGCTCTTAGATCTCCCTATGCAGAAGGGCAATGAACCTCTTCTATTGAACTACATACCAACATACAGGTCGGCCCTGCCTGACGTTCCACGCTGAAGTAAGACCCCTCCTTCTGCCACAACTCCATCTATAACTTCATCTCCAAGGCCAGATCAGCCCTCCACCTCTGACCCAGCTGAGCAACCATCTACTTCTGCCCCTCAACTTATTCCTCCATCCCAACGCCAATGCCAACGCAGAGCTCCAATCTCTACCCCTGCCGGCAGAACTCGCAGCTGCAAACGCTGATATTCTGAGTCATCGGCTTACAACCCAGCTAATCTCCTAACCGCCCTTCTAGTAAAACATTTCGGCAGCAAAGTAACAGTTGTTTCCACTGCCGACGAAATGGGCTATAAACCAGCCATCATTGAGGATTTTCTTGCCAATATCCCCGGGGTTGTGACGGTGTAATCCTCGTCTTCTCCGTTCCAATCAAAGCTAAGGCCAAAAAGATTGAAGAAGGCTAATTAGGCCATAGTGACTCAAATTGACTCTGAGGACACTGTTCTAATTTCAAAACTAGCCAAGGTCAAGAAGAACCAAACTTCCGCTGAGAAAAGGCCAGCCGAGGCTAATGCATCAAATTCCCAACCATCTAAAAGGCCGAGGTCTGACCAACCTGAGGGTCGTAGCTTTCCGTGCAATATGACCTGGGCTCCCGAAGTCATGGTGGGGGATAGACCCTCGACAGTGGGCGACAACGCAATCAAGGATGTGGAGGTCGGCGATGCCTTGTCAACGGTCGTTCTCCTTCCCGAAGACATAAATTATATGGCCGATCTTCACGAGTACAAAAACTTCGGCCTGATCATGTAGTATTCAGTCTTGGCAATCCTCTTTATTTACTTTTGTATAGTCTTTCTGTACTTAGTCAAATTTCACTAATCTGTTTTACTTCTTACAGGCTATCCAACATGCTTATTCATACGCGGTCAAGACTGAGATGACAAGGAAGGAGTTGGCAAAGAAGACCAAGGAAGCCGCCAAACTCCTCACCTCATTCAATCATGCTGAGGCCAACAATTGAGCCCTACTAGATCAAGCCAAGGCTTCCAAAGCTGCTCAGGATTTGGCTGAGGAAAAAGTCAAAATGGCCGATGCTGAAGCCGAGGCCGCCACAGCTGATCTTAAGGCTTCCAAGGCCAAGACAACTGATTTAGAGGCTAAGCTTCAAGAGGCCCTTGACTCAAAGGAGGCCGAGGTCAAGGCAGCCGATGAAAAAGCTTACGAAGAGGGACAGGCCGCCATCCGTGACCAGTACAAAGAACAAGTCGACCTGGCTTGCAACTGAGGTTATTACCTTGGTTAGATGGCGGCGCTCAACAAGTTATTCATCCCAATGGACTCCGACCTCTAAGACATCAATCAACTTCAAGTGCCTTTCCCTCCAGAGCCCAAGGAATCTGGCGAAGAAGTCGAAGAGGATGATGTCGAGGATGGTGAAACTGATGAAGAAAATGAGGAGGCTGTCACTGATGCCAAGTCCCCCACCCTAAATGAGCAAGTTCTTGACTTGACTCAAGATGAGGAGGATAACTTGGCTTCCAAGGGCACCTATTCTCGACCAACCACATCGGAGACCGAGGTCTAAAGTGCCGAGAAGAGTTTGGATCAAACTCTACTCGAAATAGATGCCGAGATAGAGGCGGAGAAGAATGCAACACTGCTAACCAAGGCCGATGCCCATGCCACCAGTACTTAGAATTTTCTTCTTTCAGTTGTATCTCTGTTTTGTCTGAAACTTTTATATTTGGCCGATGTGCCCCTTTTGTAATTGAACAAGTAATCTTTTTCCTTGAATGCCAGTCTTTCTTCTTCCAAGTGTTGAATGTGTGCCTTATTTTTTTCTTCCATGTATGCTTATTGCTTTCTTTCCAGCCTTCTATACTTCCATACTTAGAATATTTTTGTATTTCTTTCAAAGTATACCTTAATTGTATAATTACTCTGGGATATAATACCTCATATACAAACCTTGAATGTTTTCCTCAGCCAACCATCGAAATACCTCTACTAACACTTTAAAATATCAAAATGTTTTTACAAGTGCTATTCAGTATCACTTTTTACGTCATATGCTATCTTTTAAGACTTCACCCTTTCCAAGTTTGGACGACCTGGTTGGTTACCTCAGGTAATATGTATCTCGGATACTTTAATCAAAATTACCTCAGCTAACTCTCACTTGTAAATTTCTCCAAAATTTCCAACAAGTGTTAAGCCCATTCTGACTTGTAAATTTTGTCTATAAAATTTTAGCAAGTCCCAAGCACTTTAAACTTTCAAGCTTATTCATCATTCTCCAGCTCTCTGCCTCCTAATGTGAACCTAAGTTTCACTTAAGTTCACATTAAGCACGTATAACCTTTTGCCGAAGTCAGATTCGAACAAAGACTAGCCGACATGTTCAACCTGGGTTTCTCTGTTAATCCAATTGAAATGCACTTAGTTCTATTTTGAGTTTGACTCTACCAATATGGCAAGTCCAGGTTATTTTAACTCAGTTCAACTCCATTATATGCAAGTATAATTCAACTTTGCCATATAATAAGTCTAAGTTATTCGTCATGTTTCATTCAGAAACATCGCTAACTTAGTTCAACTCTATTATAATTCAACTCTACCATATAATAAGTCTAAGTTATTCGTCATGTTTCATTCAGGAACATCGCCAACTTAGTTCAACTCTATTATATGCAAGTATAATTCAACTCTGCCATATAATAAGTCTAAGTTATTCACCATGTTTCATTCAGAAACATCACCAACTTAGTTTAACTCTATTATATGCAAGTATAATTCAACTCAGCCATATAATAAGTCTAAGTTATTCGTCATGTTTCACTTTAGAAACATCGCCATAGAACTAATTAGTCATATAACACAAATTTCAAATTCACCAAACTAAAATTTTATTACTACCTCGGCTAATGAAATTATGACATAAACTTCGAAATAAACAAAAATCTAATGATAGAAAAACTTCAAGTTGCAAGTGTTCCAAGGTCTTGACAACTCTTTGCCATCACTATCCTCAAGCCGATATACCCTATTGCCGGCGACTAAGATGATTCTATAAGGCCGCTCTCAATTTGGGCCTAGCTTGCCCTCCCTAGGATCCTTCTTGTTGTTGACCACTTTCCTTAGCACAAGGTCCTCAACTTTGAACTCTCTTGGGTTGACCTTCTTGTTGTAAGCCCTAGCAAGTTATTGCTGGTATGCTCTCAATTGAATTGCTGCTCTCTCTCTCTTCTCTGCTCCAGTAGGTCTATATCTCGAGCTAGAAATGTCTCATTAGTACCATTTTTCACTCCCTGGGTTCTGATCCCTAGAATGCCGGCTTCTAGTAGGATAACTGCTTTAATGCCATAGGCCATGGCAAATGGAGACTCCCCAATTGATCTCCTCGGTGTAGTCTGATATGCCCAGAGTACATTGGGCAACTCTTCCACCTATTTTTCCTTTGCTGCTTCCAGCCTCTTTTTTATCCCATCCAAGATAGTCTTATTGGATGCTTCTAATTAACCATTACTCTAAGGGAAACTTGGAAAAGAGTAGTAATTCTTGATTTTGTACTTTGCACAGAAGTTTTTGATTAGCTTACTGTCAAACTATGTACCACTATCTGCTATTATTGCCTCTAGGATCCCAAACCTGGTGATGATGTTCTTCCATATGAAGTTCTTCACATCAATAGCTAGAATCTTCACAAAAGGTTCAGCTTCTACCCACTTTGTGAAACAATCAGTTGCTACCAACAGGAACTTCCTTTGCCCAGTTACTTGGGGTAGTTGTCCAACAAAATCCATGCCCCACTGGGAAAATGGCCAAGGGCTGGACACTGGGTTCAAATCTGCTGCTGGTTGATATATCAAAGGTGCGAACCTTTGACACTTCTCGTACTTTCTGACGTAGGCTTCAACATCCTTCTACATGTAGGGTGACTAGTACCCTTAAGTAATGGCCCTATGATCAAGTGATCTGCCCCCAGCATGGCTTCCACATACCCCTTCATGTATTTCATACAAGAAGTCTCCAACCTGAGAAGGATGCACACATCTCAAAAGAGGACTAGTAAAAGACCTTCTGTATAGATGTCCTTTTGCTATTAGGCTAAACCGCGTCGACTTGAGTTTGGTCTTGTGTGCCTCTTTTCAGTCATCCGGTAACTTTCCATCTCTAAGGAACATTACTATTGCATCCATCCAACTTGGGCCCATCTCCACACACATTGCTTCGTACTCAGTGATCAGTGGTTCCATACTTGGGCCTGACAAATAATCAACCATTATTGTTATTGTCTCCCCTGATTTCATTGCACTAGCCAGATTAGCCAAGGCATCGGCATAGCTATTATCATCTCGGATAACTTGTTGTAGTCGGCAATCCTGAAACAAGGATAACAGTCTAACAACCTCTTTGATATAGGCTATCATTCTTTCATCTCGGGCTGTATATTCGCATGTTGCCGGGTTCACAATAAGTTGGGAGTCACAAAAGACTACCACCTCGTCGGCTTCCATTGCTGCTGCTAACTTTAACCCTTCTGCTTCATTTTTTGAGGCTTTGACCCCCAAACGAATAGACTAACATTCGCCCATCTTGTGATACCAACACCACTCATGCCCCCGTTCCTCGACGGTTTGAACTCCCATTAACAAACAGGCGGAAGAAGTCGTCGATGTAAATATTGCAAGGCTTGTGAGATACCCCTGCTCCGTAATATGCTAATTCATCCTCCTTATGCATATGATTATGTGTTTGATACGATTTTGAGTGCCAGCTACATGAATATATGTGGTTTTGAATTTCTATCTGTTCACCGTAGGAATATCTGTTTGATTATCTGCTTTGGAAATTCAATTGAAGGCCTTATCGGCCATAGAACCCAAAATTGATTGTGTCATTGTGATTGAAATAATTTTTAGAGCCTACGGTGAAGTTTAATTGAAAAATTGATTCGAACCAGATTAAATTGATTAAACTGATGAATTAGAGCCAATTATTTATTATTATTAAATAAATGTTAGTGGGATTTGTTGTAGAGGAGCACTACACCCCAATTCCTCTCCTTTATTGCATTTT